AGCTGGAACAGCAGCCGCCTCTCTGGGTGCAGAGAAACATCCACAGACTGACGGGACGTGCGAGGCGCCGCTGGCTCTGGTTTCAGCACAGCCGTCATGTTTTCAGAAAGCCTCGATGACGGAGGGTAGATGAGCTCCAGCAGCTCCAACCAGCTGCAGCGTGTTTAATGCGTCGTGCACTGAGTAAGCAGAGGGCTGCTGGCGCTCGCTGCGTCGCTCTTCATCGATGACCTGCAAATAAACAAAAACGCTCCTGAAACTGTAAATCAGCCCCGAGCGGCCGCAGACTCTTAGAAATGATGTCATCAAAGATACGAGAGGATCAATAACCGTCTGCGTGAAGTACGATCTGAACGTGACGCACGGACGGCCTGTAAATCTGTTTCCCATCATGCCCCTGTGCTCCCTCGGTTTACAGGCGCCGCCTCACCTCGCTCCCACTCACATTCCTCACCGAGCACGCCGACAGCACAAACAGCAGCGCCGACTTTGGCCTTAAATTACTCCCATCAGGCCTCGCGTTAGATAAACACTCGTGAACTTTGACCTGTCACATTTATGTTCTCCACACAGAGACGCTTTATTAGGAACGCTAAGAGACGCTGCACAGACGGGAGCAGCACTCAGGCTAACCTGCCGTGTTAACACTGAGGCGAGTCACGGCGAGGGGGCGGTGCTTAAAACACAAAGCTTCTCCTGTCGGCGAGCCGCTCCGCGTCCTCCTGCACGGGCTGAGCTGTGAGGCGGGGCCAGAGTCGACCCCAGAACACCAGGAAGTCATTCCTGCAGCCCCCCAACAGTCGGCTCCATCAGCTCCAACCAGTTTGACCTCTGACCTCTGCAATCAGCAGGTGATTCCCTCTGACTGCCGACCCGAGGACACGCCGTCCTGCCGGGGGATTTATTTCAGACGAAGACTCAAAGAGACGTCAGCCGGGAGTCGCTGCCCGCCCACCCCGGGCCTCTGATTGGCTGCTGCGCTGTGCATGCAGCAGCACCTCTGCAGGAGGCTATTGTTGTTGCGCTGCCAACGGCACGGTGCACATTTCTGGCCACCCTGAAAATAGACGGCGGCCTCGCCACGGCATACTTATACCGCCTGAAACGGGCCGACCTTGAATGGCTTAATGCCGTCCTCGCGCTCCGGCGAGTCACTGCGGAGGTGGGGTTTAGATTTTCTGCAGCTCACTCGTTCCTCTCTGCAGCGAGGCTCCGGGAACATCTGACATCATTTATTCCTGCGTTCCTCTTCCAGCTCGTCCACATTTAGTTTCGATTAACGGAGTGGCCCCGCCTCTTTAACCTCCCGAGGGGCAGAGGTTTAATGTGGGCCCCTCGCCGCACGTGTCGCTTTCATGGCGTCCTGAGACGAGCGCAGACGCAGCAACGCGCCTGCTGATCGACTGAGTGGAAAGTGTTAATAATAAAGGTTATTTTCATCACCTGAGGACGAGTCACTGATCACGTCAGCTAATCAAACAGGAGGCGTGTCCATCAGCTGAGGGTCAAAGGTCATGAACATGAAGGTGGAAATAAAAGCGATTCACAGGTGGATGTTTGGAGCTGCAGAAGGAAGAAGACGAAGTTCACACTGAACGTTTCATCGTCCTGAGCTGCTCTGTCAGGAGGATGATGTCACTCAGGTGTGATCTCAGTATCACCTGTGCTCTGCTGAGCCTCGCACACACCTGTGAGGCAGACACTCAGGTGTGAAGCACATCCTTCCACACTCCCTGCACCCGTGGAGTGGCTCTACAATAATATTTCATGGTCGCTGCTCTGCATCACCCTGTGTTCCTGTCCCTGCTCAAATATAAAACAGTTTCCACAGTGAAACAAAGATCAGATGTTTCGTTTGAAGCTTCAGTACGTTAATAAGACGTCTCTCATCTTCTGCGTGTCGTCCCCTCTCTGCACATCGTTTCACTCTGAAGACGGTTTATAAACTCTGGTGATAATTCCTCATGTGAGGAAACACCAGCTCGTGATGAAGAAAAGGTGAAAACAAACAGGAGGCGCCGTATTGTTGGTAATAAAGGTGCAGCAGCAGGTTACGTCTGCCCCTCCAGGTGAACTCGACCTGTGAGCTCAGGGTAACTATGAGGAGCCACCAGAGGAACAAGGCAGACACCTGATTGGCTGCCCCTCACAAAGTGGGTGGACCCCCTGTACATACAGTAACCTAGGGATTTCCTGGATCTCGATGACATCACAGAGATCCAACAGCGTAATAAACTGAGTTTAGAGCAGCCTGAGCTCAGGGACAGGAGTCATGTGACAGGAAGTGAGGAGACGCAGCTGGAGGATGAAGCAGCTGAGCACCGATCTTCACGTTCAACACTAATCTGCAGCTCGTCGAGGCCTCCGCCCTTCACCGAGGTCTCTCCGGCCCGTTAACGCATCAGTGTGCGGCGCCGCTCACGTGACGCCACGTTCCTGTGCAACTGTCAGAGCCAGGATCACAGCCAATTACAGCTCAGCGCTCAGCAGGCCAGTTTAACAGGACGCCTGCCTCTGGACTCCCGCAGGAAGTAAAGCACTCGTATCTGTGCTCAGTGTTGTGAAGGTTACTTTTCAAATGTATCCCACTACAGATTACAGATTACATGCCTCAACATGTATTTTGTAACTTTACTCAATGAGAGTAAAGTATTCTGAATACTTTGGATTACTTAATATATTATCAAACTTTTTACAGCTACATGGCTGAAGGTTACTGGTCACACCAGCTGTGGCGGCACTTCGGTCTCGTATAGAAACGATTCCCGTGTCAGCCATGTGTTTACTTTCTGTCTGCTTTCAGAACCAAACATGATTATGTGCGGCGAGCAGGTTGTGATGCCGCCCTCAGTAACACACGCTGCAGCGTCACATGACCCAGGTAGCTACCACAGCTAAAACAAGCTAGCTGCAGTCGGCTAATGTCAGCTTTTAAAAAGAACGCACTTCCAGATGTTTCTGTAGGTTGGAGTCTTTGCTCGGCTGCTGCAAACACGGTTTTATTAAACATGCTGATGTTGAAGTGATGTTGCCTCTGCTGTGTAACAGGACGCTCACATTATGCCTCTTATTGTGTGTTTTTGGGGCTTTGATGTGTGAAATGACCAAAGAGACAGTTAAGAGGAAAATACTGCTGTGTAATCCATGTACTGCAACAACGTAACCACATTCTAATTATCACAGATTTAAACGTCTTTTATATTTTAATGTCCGTCACTCCCCAACACCGGCTGCAGGGCCGTGTTTCAGCGTAGACGTGAATATGAGCCTCAGCAACGCTGAGATAAACACACCTGATTCATTCGTCTCCGTGTTTACAAAATTATCATCGACTCAAAAGAACCAACGAAAACTCAACGAACTGAAGTTTTTGTCAATTTTCCTTCAAATCTCATCAGCGAG